TCCTATTAGCAAGAAGGTCAAATGACAGTATTAAGCCAGGTGGTTACTGAAAGAAGTTATGAGTTGGACAGTATACCTATATCAGATAGTTTTTTCCTCTTGCGTACATAAGAAATGTTATCAACACTCTTAAATTTCGAGCTAGAAAAATCTATACTAACGAAAATAGAAAACTCATCATACGGGAACGGACAGGCAGTAAGATTTGTGGAAGTTTCCATGATGAGCTCAAATGCCGAGAAATGAATACACATGGTGTATGAGGAGCATACATATATCTAACATTACCGTTTAAAGAATATGCAGTCACTACATCAGAGACATTACAACTAAGAAACACTATTGCAAAACATTGATCACAGTTCATATGAATTAAGAAGAATAGTATCTAAAACACCCTTGCCACAATATTATGTATAAAACTCATCACCCGTTGTATACTTTCCAATGTAGGTGATGGATCAGCTATCAAATCTGGTCATTTTACTGTGCACTCATAAACTTAACTCTTTTTGTGGAGATCATCACTAGCTCACCGTCGCCTTCTGCACCACTGTCTTAAGTGGTTAGGATAAGGAATCATAAGATCAGTCAGCAGTTCCATATCGGAACACCCAGTAGACACGGAACATAAGATTGGTGAAAATCTAGCCTTTACTATTCTATACAAGGTGCTGCCTCAATTCCCTAGATTTGTACGCCTTTGATTGCTTAGTATAGATAGGGATTAGGAAGATGTCATAAAACATTTGCAACGCATAAAATGTGTTCAGAAGAAGTTTGCTCAATGTGTCTTCCTCCTTTGGCAGGCATCTCCAGCCTACAATGGCTTTCTTTCCAGATGACACCACATAACCAGTAATATGATCATAATCATCATGTACTATTACCTTAATTATCATTCTGTCTTATAAATAATTGCATACTTTAATCTTCATTTCACACGTTATTATAAAAACAAATGCTTCATTATCTAGTCGCTATGAGACAGTAGTTATTTTCCCCCTTCTCCGTACAAATTTCCACCCACATTCACAATGATTGGCTTCCTATAATATATAAGCACTTGTATCCATAAATTCGTATGCCTGAACTTTTATTTTACTAACCGAATTGGTAACAAATCTCTATGATTAATAAATTCTACTTATATAATTTTAAAGCCTGACGAGGAATTACCAAAAATACACATTTGCTTTCATCAAAATAAGACTTGTCAGCAGACTGCCTGCCCGAATGCCTGCATGGTCCGTTCTTGAATTGAGAAACCTTAACAATTCCAGCAGAGAGTAAATCCATTTTTTCTTTACACAATCTAAAAGGTGATCCGCGCAACATACTCGCGTGATTGCTCAGTTGGATTCATACAGCCTTACTCTCTCTCTCCTGTTCTCGTTACAATTTCCCATATATGCAGAGTAGACGCTGAGTCAAGTCGATTCCAGCAAACAGACGCAGAATATAATGTTTATTTCCTCTATTATAGTTTCAGGATTCTAACTAAATATTTCGTTCACATTTTTACACAATCATTGTAATCTTCAATCAAACTAATGTTTATTATTCTCCACTGAGATATAACTGTCAGGTATATAACAGGTAGGTTGTTATCTGGGGTTCTAGTGGGAAGTCGTGACAAGTAGGGTGCAGCAGGTCGAGTGTGAGGACAAATACTCGCCGAAGACATTGGCTAGCGGTTGCAATATGTCGTGAATTGACAGAAGTTAGAATTCATGGGCCATTGGATCGGGTCCCAGTGGCTTAATGGTCTACGAGCTCGCCTTGTAACTGGAACGTCCTGGAACCGAACCCCAGTGGGTGAAAACTAGCAATGATTCCCAAACTAGGCTGACGAAACAGCTGTCCAGTACTCCCTGGTTTTCAATGGTTCTCTAACTGATATCAATCAACCTCGTAAAAACAAATCTAATCCTTACAAACCAAACTCTTGAAAAGTAATAAATAATGTTAAAACGTATTCAATTCACATTCTAACAAGCTACTTATTTTTACTATAAAAATATCTTATTTCCCATCTGATTCTATTTGATTGATAACACTAATACTATTTCCAAATGTACTTTACCTTACATTGATTTTATTCAAATGTCTGATCATCAGTTTTTATTCATGTATATAAAGGAAGCAAGAAAGTTGTGTGAATGCCTTCACGTGATTATGAGCAATAGTTTGTGCTCGAAACATAGTCATCAGTAAATACTACTGTGTGATTTTATCAAAATAAAATTTTATTCATAATGGAGCTTTACTCTATCACAGTGTCCAAGTTTGATCCTTATATCAATGATTTGAACATACAATAAAAACTACTGAAACTACCCTTGCACAGAGTACTGTTTTTAAAGTAAAAACCAATATAACAGTTGTGTATTAGAACGAATTCATTGTGATTTCAACTGATGAATAAAGCTGCTGAAATAAGTGAAACAACTAATGCCTTGAAATGCTTCATCAAACAGCCTTAGACAAATAAATTGTAACATTACGTTTGAACATTTGGGAAGTATGTTTTTAGTGCTGAGTGTTATATAAATTAAGCCGAATAAAACCCTGAAGAATATATACGTTGATTTGTGGATGCAGGATCAGGTTAGAAAAGAATTGGGTGTAACAAGAGAAAAACACATTTCACTAATCAATGAAGTCTTTCACTGTTGGTTGGTTTGATTTATGTATGTAGATTTAGCCTATCTCACTGAGGTCTCAAATATCACTGCTTAGAAATGTAGCTTAGCATCATATTCAATGGGGCAGATGTACCCGCTCCTAGAAATCTCTTGCTTTCAATAAACCATCACTATCCTTCATCTAATTATCCTCTCAGTAGTAAATTTTCATCTATTACAATTACATTGGATTCCTTTTCTCTACCTTTAATGTGGACTTTTATGAAGTGTGAAGACCAGTCAGTCAACAAGTGATATTTCTATTCAAATGAGCAAACAATCAGATGAAATATTGCTTATTAAGCTCTTGGGTAGAACCTTATTGAAAAGGGTGGAACGGCGTCCTAAAAACCTTCTCAGATGCAATGAAACGATATTACCAATAATGAAGTTATTTCATTTTGACTATGCATTCAGGTTTTACCTATTGCAGTACATTTTAATTGGTCAGTATAATAATAATAATTCCTTTGTTACTTTGTAGAGTAATACTGACTTTGAAACCTTCACTCCTAAAAAACACTGACTGAATGAAGTCACAGAAATAAGTAACATCTAAAAACAAACACCGAATCAGATTGTGGAGGTATACAAAACAGTTTCACATTATTTCTATTGTGGTTCAATTAAAATGGATCAGCAGGTTAATTTACACCTAACATAATTTAAAATCAAAATCACTTGACAGAAAGAATATATGATGTAAAAATAAGTTTACTTTTCTTGAAGATACAGACAACGATTCTAGAGTTTTCAATGAAGTCGAAGGAAACTCAGAGTGAGTGGCAGGGAACTTACCTTCTGATTGGTTCCAGTAGGTCTGCTAGACATTCAGCAATGTGATGGTAAGGTGAATTCATGCTGATAATGAGTCAAAGAGGTGTGGCTTTTCGTGTACTTCCGGTAATCTATAGAAAAGAGTTACTCTTTTCAGTCATAGCATTCTCAAGCTGTACAATCGCACTATATGCAGTGAATTTTCTTAGCCATAAAAGGAATATTTCTAGGAGATGTGTCATTAGAATTGTAATTACAAAATACGTAATACAAAAAGCGCTAATCGATTAGATACAAAAATAAAGTCAAGAAGGTAAATTAAGTGGCGTAATATAACTGACGGGATTGAGCAGTATTCAAATAAAGTTGAACTAGTCATATTAATAACAGTGGTAATAAAGGGTGGGAATTTAATAGGAGGTGAGGGGAGAAAATAATACAATTAAAAACAAAAATTACACATTCAGTGTTAAGACAGATCATGTCCGTTTTAGATTTAATGACTGAACAGACTTTTTTTGTATGAAGAGTTCGAGGTTTAACTTGTGGATAGTCATTACTTCTGCAGTTTGATTCCTACTGTTTTAGCAAGATCCCCACGTATTCTGTAGATAACTTTGAAGTTGGTTTGTGGGTTAGCTCAGCGTCCAGATTCCATTAGGTGTTCCAGGATAGAGCTGCCGAGAGGAATCTTTATCACCTTTATAAAACCATGAAGATAAGTGTTCGGTGATACGTTTGAATAGCAAACACTGGGTACGGCCGACATACTTAGCTACACACAAGTAGGTGAATTGATAGGTGCACATAGATGAGGCCATCATTGGTGACTTATCCTTCACGTTCATGTGCATCATTGCTTTTGTGAAGAAAGTTAGCCATAGTTCAGCCGCGACGGTTTTCTCCAATGAGTGGGACAGGCGATTTCTTAGTATTCCTGCTAATGAGTCTCCACTGAATTGTATATTTATGTAGAGTTATTTGGGAGCAGAAAGTGTGGTTTAGGCCTCATGGATTTGGTAATGAAACGTCCTACCTAGCCATTCCTGAGAAGGATTCTTTTCATAATGTCAGGGCTGCAAATTCTGCGGATTCTATGGTTCAGTGAACAGATCAGGTTTCGTTTTATATGTAGAGGCACCACACTTTGAAAGTTAGTGAGTTGTCCGTTACATGTCAGCTTTCTGTAGACGGATCTTTTCAATGTTCCATCTTGTTCACGTCTTGTTATTTGAACGTTCAGAAAAACATTTTTCTGCTAGACTCTTTCTCTAATTTGAACTCTTTACTATAGATTACCGAAAGTACACAAAAAACCACACGTCTTCGACCCATTATCGACATGAATTCGCCTTACCATCGCACTGATCAATGGCTAGCAGACCTATTAGAACCAATCGGAAGGCAAGTTTCTTGCCAATCACTCTGGGATTCTTTCGACTTTGTCAACTTCACAGAAAACATCAATTTTCCTAATCAAACACTGTCCTTACCAATTGTCGTATCACTGTCTACGAAAGTCTTACTACCTGAAACAATATCCTACATATGCGAACATATTGACACGAAGAGGATAAACATTGGTATACCCACTAATTCTGGAGTTTGGTATATGCATATGGAAATGACACGGTTGTGAGGAAATAAAAGAGAGAATTAGGAATGGTATAGAAGATTGCATATTAAAGAAGTGTACATGTTACTGAAAACGCATTTCATCAGTCTGTTAAATAATTTAATTCTTTGGTATATCACCGGGATACAGTTCTTCCACTGGATAACATTTAGATTACAATTGATTGTCTGTAAGCATATCATTTATTTGTTTCAATCCTTGGAATTCCAGGTAAAATGGTATTTCCAAAAGCGGATTCCTGAAAGACATAGTAACCAGGAAATTTGTCCGGATTCATCTGAAAAATTTGCTAAAAATAATGCTAAATTACCTGCACAGGCCTGATGCTTTTCATATAGAGGCTACACAACATACTAGATAGAGGAGTAAACATAAATACCTACCTTCCACTTCCACTAGATTTACGTTCGTCTGTCGTAACCATTGACTTTCGGTTTCGTTTATCTGGCAAAGTAAAAGCAATTGTTAGTGACAGACGATGACTGGAAAGTACGCGTCCGTTTATTTCATAAATCCATGCATGTATTGTTGACATAGAACTAGTAAGTACTGGTCAAAGTTTAGATATGTGAAACCAGATGACTTTTATGACAGATATATGAGAACTTTTTCCTAACTTAATGCATTTTCAGCTTTTTGAAAATACCACAAAATACTGATGAGATGGTTTAAGATAAGAAGACGCAATAAAAAACACATATGGTATTTGAAAAAATATAGTGTTGGAAGACATTTAATTAAATTGTTTTGATACGAACAATTTCTTTCTTAAGATTGTCAGGTATTTTTTTCTAGAACGGCTCTAAACTAAATCCTACTTAAGTTCAGATTATTAATTTAAGTTTCGCGTGTGACGTCAATTTGCATGGGTCACTTTAGTTTCAAAGGAGTTTTGAAATCAATCGTGCTGTTGTACAGAATAAGTCGACTATTCAGATTTAGGGTTCTGTGGGAATTATGATTGCATTAAACATGACTTATCCTAGTATTAATTTACCCCATGATCTTTATCAAGTGATCATTCCATATTTGTTCATATCAGCTCAGACAGTCTATGTATTCTTGTGTTAGTAACACATTTTTCCAATTATGAATCTCACTTCATCTAGTATAGCTTAACGAGACGTAGGTGACACGTGTTTTAGTGAGTTAAAATCAGTGAAGAATTACAATTTTATAGATTAGATTACTTCCTTCAGTTGCACTCTATACTTTGTCTCCATGTTACTTACCACCTGCTTTCACTCAGTTTAAGCAATTAAACGGGGAAAACATTTGAAAACCACTGATCTTTTAAAATTTCATCTACAGAGACGATGACTCGGACGTGAAGTAGGACAGAAAGATATCCCGTACACAAGCCTTTTTGTGAGGAGCTGGATATTATCTCGCTGTTTAAGACGAAACCAGCTGGCAAGTACCAAGCTATCCCTAGCATTCTAGCTAAGATTGTATCAAAATAAACTCCATGAGATCTGGTGAAACTTTCCGAACAAGTCAAATAGCCGAAATATTCGAGCACTATATTTCATGTTGTTAAAACAACAGTCGGTTCAGACCAGTGATGTAGCATCATTCCACGTCCAATAAGAGAGAGATGAATGTTAAACACTCAAATTTGTGCTCACTGTTTAGAATACTTCACACGCATCTGACAGAACTATACAATCTTCGAACTTTAATACCTGGGAAGTCGAACCAAAACAGACACTCAACCATCAGTAGGTATGTAACGAAACTACATAAGAACAATGATATGGTTGTCTCTTTACTCTTTCGCATGACTCCGTAAATTTGAGTATAGCACCCTAGTTAGCATAACATACTTTCTCATGACTGCTACATGAACAAATATTGTTACAACATTTCTCGACATGCAGAGACAAACACCAGCTTCAGGCCAAGAAATAATATATGTGTAAAACTTGGGCACTGTGGTAGTAAGTAATTCCATATTAGTTTGTTTATTAGGTATATCACACAGTGAAACAGTATTATTTACTGGATGACGTTTCGAACAAAATTTATTGTTCATAATCATATCCCAGCTAGCTCTGGCATTGGGGTACGCAGGTGCACTTCAGAAAGTGCCTTAATTTCAGGGTATTATGTCCCACTACTCCAAGTGGACTCAATGCATTTAACAGTTCTATGATATGGTTAGAAACAGATGTATTATCCGGCCTTGTTATCCATAGAAATCTTTTAATCGTGGAGCTTATAACGGTTGGCGGATCAGTTTGAGCATAACCCTATTATTATTATTATTTCCTTTAATTCCTAGAGGAACATAGGGCTTCAGCCATGCGTCTCCATTGCGTTCGGTTCTCTGCTGTAGTTTTCACCTGGCTCCAAGTCTGCCCACACGCTTTCAATTCCTCTTCACATGATCTCCTCCAGGTCACCCTTGGACGACCAACTCGTCGCTTCCCTTTCGGGTTCCACTCGAGGGCTTGTCTAGTGATGTCACTTGCTGGTTTCCTCAGAGTGTGTCCAATCCATCTCCATTTCTTCCTGCCTATTTGTTTCACGATCGGTTCCTGGTTGGTTCGCTCCCAGAGATCTTTGTTGCTGATCCTCTCCGGCCATTTGATCTTGAGTATTGACCGAAGGCATTTGTTAATGAAGCATAACCCTATACATAAGCCTAGCTCGACTACTGTGGAATGTAACATAAACACTACAATAGAGTATTTAAAATTGAGGACTCCTGACATCTAAGTACCTACATATGCTGATGAATACCAAGTGACAAACTTTTTACGACTCATCTGCAAACAGAAAGTTCTGGAGGCCCCCAAATTTCGAGAAAAATCTGTAGTTTTTAAAGACCAGACAACATGCAATATACCTCGTATACAGAAGTAATTCAGATGATAAGGATAGAAGGCTCTTGTGGTCTGTGTTAATCCTTGCAAAATATATCTCTGTAGAGATCTAACTTCTCTTTGAAAGCGTTCTTCGATGGAGCTGATACTACTGAATCAGGTAAGGAGTTCCAGTCGTTGACCACTCTGTGAGAGAATCTACTGGGAAAGGGACTCTCCAGAATGTTCCCGTAGTATTAGGAGATTAGGCACAAACATCAAAACAATTTGATAAGCCAATAAGGGGTACCAATTTTAATAATATACCTCTGTCTTCTCTTTCCATAATGACCTTGGACTTGACTTTCCGCCGTTCTTGGGTGACACGGTGAGTACCAAATACATGGACATGAAGTATGTTGCTCTGTCCTGTCGAAACGCATTTCGTATGTTCCATCTGTTCCTATAGTGAATATTTCGTTGGAAAAGATATTTTTTGGAGATTCAGAGGGTTCGAGTAATTAGCTAATACACGGTAGGCTCAGTTCAGTGCTTGTTACTGGTTTGCGCCATGATCCGTGTGCACGTCCATATTTTTGGTCTCACACCAAGCAAAGTAGACTGCCAACAACTATAACTATTTACGTTCATGTATGATCCAGTATAACACACTTATTCAAACCTACGACGATCAAGTCACCGAGTTTCTTATTGGTCTTAAAATTGAGACAGTCTTTCTCATGAAGGAGAGTTTAGAAGATATTGCCTAGGTCTTTTTTCTGGTTGGCATCAACCATGGTATCCTTCTGGACAAACGATGACATCCCTTATTCAGTAAACACTGAAAATTTTGGAGGGTTAAGTGGACTGTCAGATGCTTGAATGAACGTTGTTGAAGTCTGCTAATTCTCCTTCCTTAGAGTTGTGTAAGTATCTAGATACAACGTTCTTGTGGTCACAAATACATCAACCATTTCTTGGTGTGCTTTAGTACAGTCAACTCTAGGAAGGCCTTAAATTCCATTTTTAATTGTTGGAAATAAGCTACTACGATTTGAATAAGTGCCCTTCTTTGTAGGAACATGAGATCATTCCTCTGGAGAGAAATATCTAAGCGTGAACCTTAAACTGACAGTAATATCTATCCTTAGGAGGCTCTTTATATCCTCCGACTATCTGAATGAGGTGTGGATGTAAGTTCTGCAACTTTAATTTATCTTGGGAAATCTGTCTCTAATATGAAATGAGGTACTGCATTAGCATCTAATAGAATGACTCGAGAGAATGTTAAGAGAGGAAGTGGTGAAGTCTTGACTCAGATGGCGAAGATATTAACGTGTAGAAATCCCAGGAAGCTCCATTAAACTTATGGCAATCACCATGTCGCCTATTTTATAAGAAAGGGGAAAAATCTTCTCAAGATGACCATTGAGAAATCTGAAATTCTAGGTTTACTAGGCGTTTATTGATCACTTAGCTCTCATGAGGAACGATACAGTAAAATAATGGCAAGCTTTAGGTGTAGATGTGAATGTACTGATCATATGTTCAAAATTTGGCAGATTTGAAAACCTAAGCATAAATTTGTAATCAGTTACAGAATGTAGATGGTATTGTCCTAATAAGTAAAACGTTGAATAAAAATGCATCTATCTGTAGTCAAGAAAATGCTGCAGTATAATTATTTCTAGCTATATTGTGAAACCATCTAGCCTGCAGAATGTCAACAGCATCACTGATGTTTTGCCCATGCCAGTTATGGATCTGTCGGTTTGCTCATGAAGAATGATGCTCCCACAATTTCAGAACGTTCATTATATATGAACTAGAGTCATAAAAGAGCGTGCTTGCATGAAAAGATGCGGCATTGCCTCCAAAACGACTTCCAGATTTGCTGTCTAGCTCCATGTCGAGGCTAAAACATTACAGATATTTACAGGTGATTGGTCGGTAAGCGCCCTTGCAGTGAACACAAGTCAACTACGGAGGAAGGGTGAATTTGATCGCCTCATGCAAGAACGTTAAGTCCGAAGTTGAAGAAGCATGCTTGGACTCATGTCACAAAATTGTTGCTACTGTAATGGAAGTTTTCTGCAGTCTTTGTATAATGTTGTCTCCAAGTTTTCACAACCAACTTATGAAGTGTTTAAATCAGGGACCAATAGGCATTCCTATTTCAGTAACTGTATGTCAAATATTTTAAACTGAAAGAGTTAGCCCTACCAACAAGACTGAGATGCGCTTATCCTGAATTTGTGTACAGCCCTCGCAATTTGGCATGTAAACTATAACATTCATGTGGTCTGGAGCAGCAGTGAAAGCTTGGCATTTAAACCATCCCCCTTCGGGAACACCCTGAAAAAAATGCGTATGACCTAATGCATATAAGTTTATTGAAAGTGTTCCTCTAAATTTTTATGCTATGAAGGGATAAATGTAATATTAGTAAAAGATCACAAAGTGGGAAATCATTAGTTTTTCAAGAGTGAAGGCACCGTAGCAAACAGCATTATCTTGTTAATTGAATCATCTAGTTTTGGTTCAGTTTATATTTGCAGAAAAAAAGGAGTTAACAAACACCAGGTTGGTCATTGGTGACTAACGTTTACTCATGGAAATCAAGACAAATCGTGTGACAATCCCATTATTGATTATAATCACCACGGTATGTGGAACTTGACTGAACTTAATGTTAAACTACTTATGTTCGGAAAAGAAATCTCTGTAAACAGTGGACTTTGTCAGTTTTCAAGTTCCATGGAAGTGCTTTCCATGATTCATTCATGACAGCAGTTTCACTTTAAATTTCGAATCAGGGCAGACTATGCGTCACAATGCTCAAAAATCTAAGCCAACATCCATGAGGTGATGAAAGCTTTAGAGTAGTTATTAACAGTGGGCACAGCATGCCTTCTGGAAGCATTAATACAAATATTAACGCGTACATAAAAATGGCGAAGATGACACGCACTTATTTAATTACATGAATTTATTTACAACCTGATTGACATTGTAATTACACGTTATTCAAAATCTCCTGGGACGACATGAAAGCTATTTCAGCCATATGATCAGTGCATGCACTGACTGATGCACTTCTAGAAATCTCCATATACCCAGTGGTCAAAAATCAAATTTGATGGAATTTCACGTCTCGATTTGTTTGACTATACCACAATTTAAGGTCATATAAGGTCCAGTGATTACATACATTTAAGTTAGTAACACTAATTCGAGGGTCAAATTTTTTCAAGATTTCCTTTGCATGTTACTACATTTCCTCAATCATTCTTTGTCGAATTATAAATCAGACCTCTCAAAAAATCATATGGTTTTGTTTGATGAAAAAGTTTAGCAAGATTGTCGTATTTTACTTGAAAATATTTATATTCTTATCATTTGTTTATTGCAATGGACTCAGTGATGACCATATTCCTGTGCCGTTTATACAAGAAAACTCGGATTTATTAGTCCCGGAAGGTGAACAAGTTTTATTACCTTGCAAAACGAACGTTTTTTCTGAAGCACTGATATCATGGTATAAAGATGACGTAATAGTTGCTGAAAATTTGACCTATTCATTTCGACTTAGGTCTACTAATCGTGCAGATGCTGGATATTACCACTGTGTAGTGAAGACTAGTTATGGTGGGATTCGCAGCAGAAAAATTAAATTAGATGTTGGTTGTAAGTGGAATTTGTGCATTTATTGTAGATGGTTTATTTGAGATTTGTTGCTTTTCATGCCTTATTTTTTTGTTATTCTGCTCATTGTACGGAATGAATTAAAACACAGAAACTGACGACTGCTTCGATATATTTGCAAATTTATTATTAATATTTTGTGTTTATCTGGCATTCATTTTACTAAGTGCAATTTTTCGGTCAACCAACTAAGCATTCTTGAAGAAGTCTTCTTGGATAACCGTCTCTTTGTGCATCTAAAGTAGGGTGTCCCTCTGAGAAAAACTGGCGTTCACGCTGTTCACTGGAACCTTTTTGATGTTTTTCAGAAAATTTACAAGTGTACTTGCGGACATGTAATCTAGAGTGGTTGGAATCCTTGCTGCATGCCACATAGTAATAGCTACAAATTTTCCTGGGATGATATTTTTTTCTTGATATCAGCAGCTCCGGATTTATTTTGGTATCCAAAACTAAGACAAAAATTTTGCAAATTTGAATGTAGATACCGCAGTTTGTAGGCCTAACCACAAATGTTTCACATATTACTATTTTAAGAAACAATCATGGATAATTTATGGACTTAATTATCGTCTTTTATTGTTGCTTTTTAAACCCATTAAACTTCTAGTATCCTTACGTTTTACTCATAAGTTATTGCTTATGCTGGATTTAGTTTAAAACACCAAATTGTAGTGTATAACTTTGGTGTTTCAGTGGAGATCATACCACGTAGTAGACAGATATAGGCCAACTACACAATATTTTAATACATTAGACGAAGAGTTTACCTAGAATAATTCGTCGACACTAACAGTAACACTAGTTTCTTTTCTTTATAATTCTCGCAAGTGTAGATTGAGTATGATGGTTTTTAGTCGAATTATTTATTCACTTATCTTCGAATTTTCCTTCATTTAAATACTCTTCAGTACTTCGTAGCTACTGAGCTAATGTTATTATGACTTGTTATTGAGGTTACTCAGATGATGTTGCACCCAGAAATATCTGATAATTGAAGTAATAGGTACTGGAGAATGATGTCATCTGTGATCATCGTCGTCTTGAATTTGAGAAAATGAAGTTGTGTTTGATAAACGCACAAATCTGACAGTAGAAGGAATCACGTAACCTTATCTGGGTAGCATCTTAACTCGGAGATCATTTTATAGATTTTTTGTTTGATGTAGGTTTATACGCGATAGAGTGTAGAGAAGAACAAGTTTCTAGAGCTCAGCAGCTTGCCACAAATCTTCGGTAAGTGCCGAAAAAAGATCACGGCTTAGTATTTGTAAGTGAAATAGGACAGAGCCTGTGTTATTGTTCGCTGACTGATGGTTACCAAAGGAGAATTCATGACATTTATGGAATTTTTTGGGGATTTTGTTAGCATTTCCGCATACGAGTGATGTATTATTCGCTTATGTTCAATAAGTGAATGGATTCAAGTATTGGTTTTTAGGAATGGATGAATGAACAAACAGAAATGAGTACGCTAACAGAGAACAAATAGGTTATTCAGGTTACAGACAATAATGAGTTGATAATGAAATGCGATAGTAAGACTGGTTGGCCATCTAGGGACATCTATAGAAGTAGAGATCACAAGTTGTTGAAATCATCAATATTACTGATGTCAATAATATTAGCTGTAGTGTTAAAGGTTATGGGAATATTCAAAGGGTGTTTACTTACTCGATGAAAAGGGTGCAAAAACAGGTGAAACGTTGCAGTGTAGCAACAATAAAGTGTAAAAGCATGCTACAAGAAAGTATATATTCAGAATGGTCATTAACTATTCCTGGAAAGGTTTGGTATAATGACTGTAAATACACACAGTGCGTTTACTGTGAAGTTCTGTAAGTTCCAATTCAGTATCTGTCGTTGTATTTTTTAAAACCTTCATTCGAGGATATGAACGTTTTTTTTTTAAAGAAAATACTAAGGAGACAGTTTCATGTATTTTATGTTCTTAAAATTTTTATTGCACATTAGTTAGTGTCTCTTGACCATGATAGTGTTTTGCACTGCAGTTTTCCATTACTATAAAGATGACTAGTCGATTTTCTGTAGAAAGACGAACGATGGTAATATCTGTTGGTGTATACCATTGATTTTTATTCATTTGATGGTTTTTTATGATACTGACTATAACACCAACATATTTTTAATCAGCAGTTTGACAGTTTCAGTTAGATTATCCGTTTCCCATTATTTGAGAGCTAAAGTACATTTACAAATTTAATCAGTATTATTTCTGCAGGCGATTATTCGTCCAGGTATTAGATTTTCAGGGCAACCAACACACGATTATAATTAAGATGAGTATCACGGTAAAATTTACATGGTCATTTTGGCAGACATATAATGATTTTGTTTATCTTAATTTAGCTGTTCATAAAAGTATGGAGTGAACTCTAGTTACAGTGCAGTTTGACGAATTTTCGCCCACATGATGTAAATAAGATGAAGCATGCGTATTTCTTCTATGTTTTTCTATCGAGATATAAAATGCGCAATCTGTTTGATTTTACTGCTGATTCCAGGAAGTTGGAGATAATTTGATATTCTTGATTGACTATGATCAATGTAACTCACACTAAAGGCTATATGGCCAGTCATAAAACATCATATGCCTAATTAACTTGGTTGGTTTCCTTGTGAATGATTCTTTGTCATCTTTATTTTGACAAGGTAGACGAATGATTGCGATAGCTTCAAAAACTGAAGGCTAACTGTATTACAGCCAAGTATGAACTGCTTGTTCAGCATCTAAATTTTAAAATTAGATTTCGAAATATCAGGAAACCATTTTCAGCACTATTATGGAGTAGATCAGAGGTACATTTGAAAACCACTATCGCACTGAATTAAATGACAAGGTGAATTGGTCGCATTTTGATTTCAATTAATATAAATGTCACTACTGATTTGATGTTGCCTAACCCTCTCTGAGTTTCGTAATCGCAGAACAAAACGGAATTTTTTATTGTCATTTTTGAAAATATTCTTTGATTTTTATCCGTGGGTAAATGTAAAATATTTGCAGCTGTTAAGCTTGAGAGGAAGTTACTGAAAGGAATCACGTACACTATGTTGAATGCTTCTGTTTTATGGGAGAGTTATTTTCTGGAACAAACAACTCTATCAGCGCCCATCTAATGGTTATGTAAAACTGAGGTCAAAGTTTCTTTTTACAACAGATCTGTTGTATATATTATTGTACACTGTATTCGGCTCCGACTATTATGCCACAAAAGAATCACGTCTTCATGTTCCATAATGTATTAAAAGCTGTATACGACCTAATACCAACAATGTTGGATTACAAAGCACAAGTAGAAACCTGAGAAAGTATATTGTTAACGGAATCGAACTTTTGAGTACGGCAACGAAAACTAAAGGTGCGTGATCCCGCACTGTATGCGTAAAACAATCAAAAATCAGAATTTAATCACATATCCGTGAAATTAGCCTCTGTAAAAATACAATAAGGGTACGTGAATTAGTTTTGGAAGCATTTGGTTGTAGGTGGTAGAGAAGCACAACGATTTCTCCGCAAACAATTAAAAAATATTTCCATTCAATTTGATATAGTCAAGATTTTGACGAAATTGATCCATTATTTTGTCACTCAATTGTTGCATTTTAAATCACTGGAGTAGTTCGAGAAGACATCTTCTGACTCCCAGTGGAAGATATGTATACCGTTTACTAAATTTCATCTTGGTTTACAGAAATTTAATGTGATTCATCAATCCAGTCCATATGAATATGTTTACTTCCAAGACATCTCAAACATTTCAGAAGGCGAACCAGCAAGAGAAGGGATATTCTGCTTTCCGACAAAGTCATCAACTACAATGTAAATCCGTGAATATATAACAAAAAGGAGTGAGAAAGTTCCAGAACTAGTCCACATCTGAGATTAAAATACTGTGAATAAGACCATAAAATAGGGTAATACAAAAAGTGATTAGAATAAGAAGATAAACGGGAAATTGCAGCGATAAATATACTTCAGTTGTAATGACTTTCTTATGGAAATATACTGGTTTTGATTGGTATGTCGAGCATGCCTATCACTGGCTTGAACTTCTGCATGACTAATGTTTCAGCCGGAAAATAGCTTCCTGTTTGGATTCATAAGCAAAAAACTAAAGTTAAATAGGCAATCTAAACACGTTCAGATGGCCATTTGATGGAAACAGTAGTTGTGATGGCGAACACATCTTTCTGTTGAAAATTTGGAAGTTTAACACCAAGCATACTGGGTATGAAACTAAAGTGATGGAAGGCATAACCTGATTTTTATATTTTTATACCAATACAATTACTTCAAGTTACTTCAGTATACTTTGATGATACACTATTGGCGTCTGTCATATTTATAAATATCAGTGTTGGGTGCACCGGTATTGTTATGGTCAAAAAGTCGCTCATCTTGTCAGCATGGAGAATAATGAGTGATACATATGATACTCATTGACAATACGCAGTACAGCCAACCTTCAATTGCTTTAAATTTTCTATACGTTATTGACTTTTTACTCATTTCAGTTATTATTTTAAAATGATAATATCTTTGTTATACCTCACAGATCTTGATCCACCCTCGGAAATCAAGTCAAGATCGTTCATTGAAGTAACCTTAGGACAAGCTGTGATAATTTGGCCTGGTTCTGTTCAACATGAACAAAGAAAACAGCTATCCTACTCAGATAGAAGAAACGAACCTTGGAAGTCAGTAATTAATACACTAAATGAAACACAAAAGTTCCTACCTAGTTCATATTATCTCCAAGCGGTACCGTTTCCACAGGCCATATGGACTATAAACAATGCCCCATTACCAAATACACTGAATATTTTTGTCAGTCAATTAGAGCAAGCAATAGCCTTGCTTAATATTGATAAAGATATGAATTTGAAAGTGATCAGAGCTCGACTGATAAATGGTTACGGTAATTCAACAGAAGGCGTATTCAGTCAGACACACATCATTCAAGTTAAAGGTGAGCAACAATAAAATATTATATGATGACTTCATACATATAGAGAAATCGAGCTTTCAGTGCCTTTAGTATCATTTCTATCTTATTCAGCAGAATGCAGTATTAAATAAGGCGTTTTTACCCTGTACTCATTGATTTCGTAGACTTTTTTTCTTGTGGTGCTGTTAAGCTATCATTATTTATAAAAATTAGCGTTTGTAGCTAACCAAAGTTGTTGAAAGATTTTCGAGATGCTTTAATATAAGCCTAAATTTAAACGTTTCAACAGGATATTATTTGGCCCATTGAAAACGCCTATTTAGGCGTCAAAGTGTATTCTTTTATTTTATTTAGTCTATCACCTATAGTACTGTACTATTAGGTAGAAACCTTTTCCTAGCAACGCATAATTTAATAGTTTGGTGAAAATAAGTTTGTTAATGATAGCAAACGCCAAGGAGTTGATTTTATCAGTTAGTTATGAAGACACCAACGAATGGAGACAAACAATTTCACGGTTACACTGTGATAGTTAAAACAGGCGGGAGTGAAAGAAGGACTTTTTTAACTGGTAAAATTGTCGATGATTATAAGGTGACTGGGGTAGTAGTAGTAGTAGTAGTAGTAGTAGTAGTAGTAGTAGTAGTAGTAGTAGTAGTAGTAGTAGTAGTAGTAGTAGTAGTAGTAGGTTAACGTGGAGAAGAGGAATCGAGAAATGGTCACCAGTTTATAAGTGTTACAATAAGTTAAGTGAATGATCAAGGGAATAAGCGAAAATAAGGTTACTCAGAAGGTAATAATTGATTCTGAAGACAATTTTGTTAGTAAAGATATCTTTTCGGCAACTTCATTTTCAAAAGCTGTACAATCGCATTTAAATACATAATTTTACATGGAGACAATTCTTGTTTGATTCTACATAATTACAACGGCGAATAAAAGGTGATAATTATTTCCAGCTAGATATGGTTTTTATGAGAGGCTTAGAAACGAAATTACACAGGATTATAGCGAATTACAGGTGTGTAGAAAATGAGCATGGAAACAAAAATTGAAATAATAATTTTCAACTTGAAATGGAAGTTAGAAGGTGTGAATATAGATTATAAGAGCCTTAGAAACATAAAAATTGCACAGGATTAAGATATAATTGTAAAATAGTTAATTTTTTATTATTAAACGAATTATAAATGTGAGCAGGAAAAGCATGGGAACAAACTTAAAGTAGCTGTTTTTATAACTGAAAAAAAATGGGGTGAATCGAATGAAGACTGAGGGAGTAAGAATCACACACACAACGAACGAGAAAACATTAAAAAGAAAAAGGAGAACGAAAGAATAATAAAAACGGAAGCTAAGGGGGCATACCGAACTAGGTCCATGGTAGTTGTAGAAGCTGGACTTATTTCTTTTGAACACACAGCTCCGGCTTCTAGATGCATGTTGCGAGGGCTTCTGCAGTACAGAGAAGTCGGAAACATACTGCTTTTGGTAGGTTTCTGTTGACTTTGTAAATTAATTTGAAAGAATCAGTTGAGATGTTGTGGGAGGTGTTGATCAGATGTTCAATAATGGCAATTCTGATTGAATCGGTGCCTCCTCTTTGCAGCCACGCTGGGTAATGTTCTGTAAAACGTTTTGAAAGGACGCGCATACAACGACCTATGTACCTAGCTCCGCACAAGCAGGTGAACTGGTATATGCACACTGAATTGGTCATTCGCGAGAGTTTATCCCTCGTGTTGTTTTGAAGTATTGGACAGCTACAGAATGTCACTCTTAGTGTTGCTGGAGGGAAGGTCTTCTTTAAAGAGCTGGATATTCTCCTCTTCAGGATGTCGGCTACCAAATCTCCCCTGAAATTCAGATTCAGATACAGCGCTTTCTTTGGCGCTGAATCTCATTCTTCTCTTCTTATTTTAGGTTTCATGTTCTTTTCGACAAAACGTGTCGGGTATCCATATCTAGTTGGAAATAATTATCACCGTTTATTCGCCGTTGTAATTATGTAGAATCAAACAAGAATTGTCTCCATGTAAAATTATGTATTTAAATGCGATTGTACAGCTTTTGAAAATGAAATCGCCGAAAAGATATCTTTGCTGAACTTCGTGTTCTCTTCTTTCTAATTTTTTTAGCATCAAACACTTGTTTAGCAATTGGCTATGGGTGCTAAAACTGGCCTTCAAATCTAATCTGTTTTGCACTCCCATCTATTTGACCAAACTGGTAAATATTTTAAAGTTCTCTAAATGGAAGTGGTAAATAGTGCAAAGATTCAAAATACTTAATTCTTCTTCTATAAAAGAAAATGTTCATAAACTTTCAGTAGATTTTATCGTCCTGTTAGACCTCTCAAAGAGGAAAATTTATTGAGTATAGCTTAATCTATTACCGAACATGAATCTATGAATTAATTTAAAATAATATCAACTTGAATTTGAGCATGAAAGGTCATTTTTGTCCGGTATAATGAATGCATCTAGCAATAAAATTGATTAGAGAAAGGAGTTATCTTCGTTTTGTCGATATGAGGAAAAAGATTATGAATTATGAATATTAGAGAGTAAATTCAGAGGCTCAGCAAAGGTATCTTCTTAGTGATTTCACTCTCAATAGGGGTACAGTTGCAGTTATGTGCATAAGTTAGCATAGATGCACATGTTGATTACATCTTCTCCCAGTAAGGACTATTTTACAAGTTACGCATCTTTAATATCGTTATTGTGGATATTTTTGGTTTCTATGCACCTTGTGAATAATATTCATCTCTCATTTCACCAGCGAACTTTCAAATCAGATTGGCAACTGTTACTTTGTTTAAATCTCACCATCCTTGCGGTGTGGGAAACGAGAAGACAGGGATATCCTGGACTGACGTGAACAACGTAGAAGACCTGGATTTCGCGCGTGGATGATTTATGTTTGATGTCACACAAAATCGAAGACTTACAAGCGGAAACCAACAAACTGGTCGAAGAAGCAGCAAAGACAGGACTCCATCCAGGTGAACATAGACAAGACGGAGGTTATGAAAATAACCAACCAACCACAACAACAGCAGCAGCGAAATTCAGCACCAATCACCATCAACGGGAGGGAGTTGAAAGAGGTTACTTCATTCACTTATCTAGGGAGCATTGTCTCAACTACAGGAGGAACGGACGAGGATGTCAAGTCGAGAATCGGGAAGGCGAGAAACACATTCATCAACCTGAAACCAATCTGGAAATCTTCCGCTGTCACTCAGCCTGCATCAACAACAAAATTCGGATTTTCAATACAAACGTCAAGTCAGTCACTTCGTCTATACGGATGGATCAGAAACTTCGCCAGTGGGTCACAAAGAATATTTCCAACAGCCTGTTGCAGACCTTTATCAACAACAACTGTCTTCGCTCTATACTGAAGATCAGATGGCCGGAGAGAACAAGAACCAACAAGAAACTATGCGAAGAAACAAAACAGGAGCCAATCGCTCAACAAATATGCCGGAGAAAGTGGAGATGGATTGGACACTCGCTGAGCTGAGGAGGCCGTTGGGTGACATCGCGCGTCAGGCCAGTGCTCGAGTGGAACCCGAAAGGGAAGCGGCGAGTGAGACGTCCAGGTGTGACAAGGAGGATATCGTGTGAAGAGGAACTGAAACAGTATGGATTAACATGGATGTAGGTGAAAAGTACAGCAGAAGACAGAAGCAAGTGGAGACGTGTAGTTGAAGCCCTATGTTCCACTAGGAACCCAAGGGAACAATAATAATAAAAATAATCCTTGCGGTGTTTAACTAAATAACAATTATAACTAAGCTGACTTATATATATGTATCAATTGAGGCTGTACAGACATAAGCTGCCAGACGTCTTCCGCACACAACCTCCTCTATGTTACTCTCAGACCAAGAAACCCCCAACTCATCTTCCCTCATTCTGATTCCACTAGCGAGCCTGGCGCACGATATCACTTAGCGTACGTCCTATCCAGTCGTATTTCCTTTTACATATTCGTCGGGAAGGAGGTTCCCGGATGGTTCGTTGCATGTTAGAGTTCCTAGTTACTTTTCATTTCTCTCCATCTGATTTCCAGTATCGTTTAAGTACAGATGCTGATGAATACCTTGTAGTATTAGTAAAGTTATTAAATAAGTGTTTCATCTTCTTATATTCTGATTGACGGCGGTCTCTCTACAACCTGTGTGCTGTTTGTTTTACAGACCCACCAATAAACACGGCTGTTCATTCACTGGATCTTGTCCTACCACCAAAAGACGCATCACTTATTTTAAAGGATGAACAACCAGGAACAGCTATCTTTGAGTGTGTGTTTAACGCAAGGTGAGTGAAAACAAATTCTCTTATCATTACATTTTTTTTCACTGTGTTTTATGAAAAATTAATTTTAGTGACCAAGACAAAGAACTTACATTGATAACCACGGCTAAAAAGAGACAGTTAAAAGCACTTTGATACTCTTATCAAGACATACATTAAAATATAAGTCACTTTTACTGCTGCTTTTTTTTTTTCCAAAAAGTATACATACACTGGGTGGCAAAATTAGCTTCACAGTAAATCAATGTATTTCCGTTGGTGTTATTCAAAGCATGTTGAGCAAAAGTAGAAGCCGACTAAGTCCACAATTTGAGCTGCATATAAGCACAAACTTTTCACTTAGACTCATGAATGCGACTTTAAAGTTAGTGTTATGACTGATATTTAATGTCTGAGAATTCTAGATATGAAGAGGAAAAATGCCGAAAAACAGAAATTAGAAAAAAAATGTCCATTTATTCACAATATATAAATATATATATTTATGAATTAGTTAGGAACTAGGAATAAAAGAAAGAAGAAAAGGAAATCAGGTTTAATTTTCTCCTCATTTTTAATATTTATACCCCAAAATTCATTTTTGGGCAACTAGATTTACACATTATGACACATTAGATGCATAAAATTGAATGTTTTCAGATGGCTAATTCTTCATTGTAGTTTGTTGAACGAGTGACTCTGGTCTACTGGGACTAAGTAAATAATGACGAACGTTCGCTCGCTCATAAGTGAAAAGACTGATGACATGAATAAACTTAGCTTCTTTTTTTCTCCAGTCAAATCAGACAGTTTTCAGAGTAAAAGCATGGATTAAAATAGCCTGTAGAAGTCCGATAATTCTGAATAGGAGTACTGAAGTGTAACTGAATTTGACGTCACAGTCCTCACGTGAATAATTCCACGGCAAATTTAATACCAGTTGAAGTTATGTAAGGATCACTGTTAATTGTCAAATAGAAGGGGAAACTGATAACCAAATACAGTGAAAGGTGGATAAAATAAAATAAAAAATTACTGAATGGTTACCCTAGAGATAAAGTATTTCCTATTAAAATTTAGAAAAGTGAATGACCTTTTTGAATAAAACAAGAACAACAATTTGTGCAGAATAAGACAACACCATCACTTATTTCGTTGATCTCTCATCATCTGCTTCCAGCCTAAATAAAATAATTATTAAGTCCATGTGCAGAGAAGTTTTAACACACTTGCAGATTTTACATGATGTCAGTTGACAGGTAGTGAACAGTGCTCAGAAGATTACGCTTATATAGTTTTTGCACAGGCAGTTCAAGTTTAAACAAAGCAAATGTATGCATACAGTGGCAAAGGAGTTGCGTAATAAAGACGAGAGGTGCATCATATGATCAGTAACTAATAAACTGGGTAACAACAGACATGCAAAATCACACTATTTCGAAGAGGGTGAGGTTAAAGGAAGTCATTACGCAATCAAGTGAAAGAGACAATAAAGACATCCAGTTACCAGGGCAAGGAAACACTTACTGATAACTGCTTCTTTCTGAACCCATGAATCAGGTTTCATTTGTTTGATAGAGATTACTTCTTCAAAGAAAATGAAATCTCAGAAGGCAATACGTGAGAAATCTGGAAGAGTGACTAGTGTAGTTTTATTTAAACAAAGCAAGAATGAACATATTTTCGGGATAGAAAAAGTTCATTTCTTTAATTCACGTCCTCTGTTCAGCGGCTAACAGCCTGAAATAGACATAAGTTGTTTTTATAAATGAAATTAAATATACAGCATACATCAAAAGCATTTCACATTGAGCGGTATCTGGTAATTATTGGCATAGTGATGGGATAAGAGGTGTGAATTAGTATTGTACTATTGTTTCCTTGGGTTCCAAGTAGAAAATACGGCTTCAACAACACATTTCCATTTTGTTATAATCTCTGCTGTCCTCTTCAAGTGGGTCTACAATTGCTCATAATCTCTCTTCTCCTCCTCCAACTCACACAATCACCTCCAGGTCACCCTCTCACCGATGACCCACTCGTTGTTTCCCATTTGGGATTCACTTGAGGTTATGCCTGGCATGTGATGTCATTCGACGGCCTTTTCAGAGTATCCCTGATCAATCCATCTCCATTTTCTCCATCATATTTGTCTAACAAGAGGTTCTTGGTTAGTTTGTTGCCTGGCCGACCGGCTGGCCATTTCATTTTCAGTAAAGAGCCAGCCGGAGAACGTGTCAACTCTTGACAAAAGTCTGAAGTGGCTTCTCGGAAATCCTTTTCGTGACACGTAGTGCAAGTTTCTGACTCATATAGAAGAACTGACTGACTGACTTCCCATTTGTGGTGAAAATCCCAATCGAGTTCTTGATGCTGGCTGACTGAAGTAGAGCAGGAGATTTCCAAACTGGTTTCAGTTCGGTGAAGGTGTATCTCGCATTTCCGATTCTGGCTGACTGGCTGGTTGGCGGGTTGACTGGCTGGCTTTGACATCTCCATCCGTTCCCATCGCCTGCGTTTGAAACCGTGCTTCCTAGCTGGATAAGTGAAGGAAATAACCTCTGTCAAATCATTCCAGTTGATGGTGATTGGTGCTGATTGTTGTTGTTGCTGCTGTTGTTGTTGCTTTTAGTGGTGGTTGGTTATCTTCATCACCTCCTCACTCTCCTCTATATTCACCTGCATGCGGTGGTGTCTTCACTGGCAGCCGGCCTCTTCAGTCGGTTTGTTGCCAGCTTTCACCAGCCTCTACGTCTTCGAGTTTGTGTGACATTTTACTCAAGTCATCCAGGTGTGAAATCTAGATCTCCTAAAGTCTTCTTGTCGGTCACTACAGAGTATTCCTGTCTTCTCACTCACACCCAACACACAGCATGATCCAGTCCACCAAGAGTAAGAATGTCACTGATGATATGAATGCAAGGCAGTTATAAATTAAATAACTATGGTTTATATATATGTGTATATATTGCTTGCTGAAAAGTTTGCGATGGGAGTATGACAGTGAAAAAATACGATAAACAAGAGTAGAATTATTACATAAACAAAAGGTTAAGTAAATTGGAAGATTGTTAATAAGTCCAGCTCAGCACATAGAAATCAAAATAACTGAAAAGTGGTGATGCCACAAAAACAAAACATCCAGTTGCCAGTGCCATGTGAGGTTAATGAAACTTTCTTCAAGTATAATAAAGGGGTTAGTTTAGAATCATTTGATAACATTAACTTCTGGAAAACAAAGTGACTAGAGATTTCTTCGTAAAGTGACTGCTGTGAAAGCTTGACGTATACGCGTTAGATCTTTTTTATGCTGTTAACAGCTGAAGAAACAACATGAAATAAAACAATGTGCTTTTCTCACCCTGAAAATTTACTCATCCTCGCTTTATTGAAGATGATCGATTCGATCAGGTGCATGAAATCAATGTAAGTTTATCTGTGCGAATGCATTTTAACTTTAATATGCATAACTAAACAAAACTGGAGTGATATATGTTCTACACATCAGAAAATATTCAATATCTAACTGAGTTTAAGCTCCATTGGTATGAGAATATTCAAAATGAGCCGGTAACTGCATCACTTGTTCAAACATAAATCTCACTACCTAGCTAAATGACTTCACACTATCTTCTAATTTATCCAGAGGGTACTTATAAAACTGGAGAAGATTTTTCTCTTTCAGTAGGCTCTTTATATTTTACAGATTTACTAATCTGTTGTGAAACAGAGTCTTGATACTCAGAGAAAACATTTCAGCCTACTGGAGTATATCGGGTGTGGATTTTCTAGAACCTCAGGGTAACTATACACCACATGGTTCCCGAAGTATTTCATCAGATCTCCAGTTTCTTATCATCCTGTTTCATGCATAACATCTTTTTGCATCGACACGTCTTACACTACAGTCAAAGATTTTTCTTTAAAAATTTAAACCAGCCACAGAATTAAACGCTTTCCACCAAGAACTTTAGAGTCTTCTTCACTTTATTAGCTAATATTCAGGAAGCGATTTCCTTCCAGCTTGGGATACTGCTAACCATGTCTTTATAAGCACACAAACTCAATGGAAGCCAGAACAGCTACGCCGTTGGTGGGCTCGGCCATAAACAAGGCGAACGGCTATTCGGTGTTTAGATTTCTTCGATCTGACTGGCTGGCCAGCAAGCATTACTGGTTGATTTAGGTGGTATCAAACTACTCATATAAGTTAATCAGTAGCATATAATTTTATGTAAATGAAAGGCTGTTCACTCTTTTGAATAAGCAGCTGAAAAGACTGCAGAAATTTCTGTTAATACACTGGTAATATCGAAAATAAAAAAGAAACTATTCCTTCGAAATGAACGTTTTATTATTGGCATTGCGATAAATTCTTCTTCAGCCTCTACAGTTATAAATCCATGATTATTACAATACAAATAGCCATTGAAGTCATGTGAAAATTATATCGGAAACTGTATTTGGGTACATGTATAATATGGAAGGAGTGATAGCTCGTTATTTAATATTGTCAAATAAACGTACATAGAAAATGTGCGGTCATTGAGAACATAAGATAAAGTGTGAATAGACAAAAGGGTGACATACTAATATATTTATAGTCAACAGAATATAAGTTTCATTGTTGAGGTGGGGGTGAGTTATACTCAATGATATGCGAGGAGCATTTCCTATAATCGACTCCAGTTGACTTCAGATCGCAAGGGAGTAGTGTTCTTAATCAGTACGTATATATTTGCATATATATTAGTGCCTTGCCAGTTCATATTTTTATTTCTAGACTTTGAAAATGAAAAACTATTTTTTTTCCAGTTACACATTTAGAAATCGTTTATATTTACGAGTTATTTTAAACAAACGAAGGTTAAAATACATCCTGTTTTGTAAGCCAGCAAATTGGCAATGTTAAAAATACCATCATTCCAGTTGCTTACATCTCAGTTATAAAATAAATAAATGTTACCGAAGCGAATATTTACAGCAGATCTGATAACCGACTGATGTCAGTTAGAGAACCACTGAAAACAAGGGACTACTGGAAAATCGCTTCGCCCCAGTTTGGGACTCTTCAGTGGTATTCACCCACGAACCCACCGATGAACGAAACCAGAACATAGACGTTACAAGGTCAAGCTGACTGACCGCTCACCGAATTAAGCCCGTGAATTCTAACTTCTGTCAATTTGCGTCTTGAA